ATCAGATGTAAGCTCTCAGTTATTACTCTAACTCCATATTCACCAGCCTGATGCCATGTTTCCAGCCATGATGGTCCTGACTCACTCTCTGGATCCATAAGCCCAAATAAACCCTTTCTTTTTAAGTTACCACCGTCTTTGCTACAGTAGCAGAGAAGTAACTAAGACACAGAGTATACTTCTACATGGTATTTGGCTCAGTGTTGCTACTGTTACAATACTCTCTCTCCTGTCTGAGCATTTTTAGGGGCTGAGCCCTGAAGAGAGCTGATTACTATCTGAGAAAAATTCCCAAATAAACACAGAATGGATATCCAAGACAACACATGCACAGACACATAAAAAAAATGAAAAATCACTGAGATGTGGTGGTATGTGCTTCTAATGCCAGCACTTCGGAGGAGGTGCAGACAGATACCAGTGAGTTCAAGCTCAGCGTGGTCCACAGAGCAAGCTCCAGGACAGTCAAGACTATACAGAGAGACCCTATCTCTAAAAAACCAACAAGAAAAAAAGGGAGGGAGGGAAGGAGGGAGGGAGCGAGGGAGAAAGGAAGAAATGAAATATCAAGGAAGCAGAATTTTAGCTATATTGCTAACATCTAAATTTCTAAGTTCAAAGATACTGAAATGGGTGAGATATCAGATGAGGAATTTAAATTTTTACTTGTAAACTATCAATGTCTTCAAAGAGAATACAAATAAGAACACAAATGAGGTAAGTAAATCAATTCAGGATATGAAGAAGAAAGCCTGCAACGTGAATAAGAAAGTCAGTAAGGAAATTAAAATTTTGAAGGTGAAAAAAGTACTAATGTTTGGGATAAAAAAAATCAATGAAACTTTCTAAGAAATGGGGACTCGTCATTAGATAAACAGAAAAAAGAATATCAGGAACGGAGAACGAGGCCAAGGGAAAAGCAAGCAGCAACAGCAAACACCAGCATGACCACAATTCCAGGAACTCTGGGACATGATCACGAATCTAAACGTAAGAATCCATGCCAAATATGTAACTGAATGATATGGCTCAAGGTCTTAAGAACACAAGAACCAGTCAAACCTCCAAACAACAGACAGGAAGAAATAATAAAGATATTAGCAAAGAGTCAAGTATAAAATAAAAATAAAATCCTGCTTTGGGGGGAAAAAAAGACTGAAAAATTCTTAGCAAAAAGAAACCCTAAGAATGAGGGGAAAAAGAGTCAATTGAAAAAAATAAACATGAATAAAAAAGCATCAATAAATTCAAATGAAATCAAAAAGTCATTTGGGAATATTTTGAAAACTTACATTTAAAAAAAATCTGGAAAATTTAGAAAAACAGAAAAAGCCTTAGATATTCTGTCCTACTAAAATGAAGGCAAAATGATATAAAAGCTTCAACAGATGTATTCCAAGCAGCAAAACCAGGACCGAATGATTCTGCCACACTCTACCGAATCTTTAAAGACCCAAATGCCACTCCCAGCCTGTGTCACAAAGCATAAAGTGCCACAGATGTCCATCCACGTGGGTGCGGTCTCAGGACGAGGAAGGACCGAATGCAGGTGACAGACGGGACCTATGCAAGAGGACACAAAGCTAATTGTTTTCCTACTTCTAACTCTGTCATGGATTTTCTAGCTTTGGTGGTGGATAAGTGCAAAAACACAGATCAGATAGTAAAAGCGTAAAATCCAACAAGAAGCTCTACAACGTCAGAACGGCTGTTCTAACTAAACAAGGTTATCAAGTTATATAGCCTCCGGGTCTGGTTATTTTCAGTGTGTGATATTTTATGTTTGCAAGTTCTTTAAAATAAACTTTATTAAAAATAAATACTTGAGCTGGGTAGTGGTAGCACACATCTTAGGTCCCAGCACTCGGGAGGCAGAGGCGGAGGCAGGTGAATCTCTGTGAGTTTGAGGCCAGCCTGGTCTACAAGAGCTAGTTCCAGGACAGCCTCCAGAGCTACAGAGAAACCCTGTCTCNAAAAAAAAAAAAAAAAAAAAAAAAAAAAAAAAAAAAAAGAAAGAAAGAAAGAAAGAAAAAAAAACTCAAATAATAAAATACTTGAAAAATTCTGACACCAGGAAATGCTTATTAAAATTACATGGAGAGTCTAACTCACCAGCCAAGACAATAAAAACCAATTTCTGGCCAGGATTGGGTGTGGTAGCAGAGGAAATCCTTATTGAAGACTCGACTACCACGTGACCAAGCTGTCCACTCCTGAGGAGTCTAAGTCAGTCCGTATAGCACAGAGACCCTTGCACATTCGGTCTTGTAATTGTTTGCCATCTGGAGATCTTTTCTAGTAAGACACCTTTTGCCCATTTTCAGTTAGATTGTTCATTTTCTTATTGTTATAGCTTAAAAAAAATTTTTTTAAATTGAATACACAGAGTTTCTCTCAAATTTTTAACATTTATTAAATCTATGTATGTGTGTGCGTCTTAACATGTTTATGCTATGGGGCACATGGGGAGGACACAGGTTAACTTGAAGGAGTTGGTTTTCTTTTCTGACCAAACTGATTTGGGTATTGAATCTAGGTCCTCCAGGGTGGCAGCAATAGCCTTTGCCACCTTTGCTGCCTCTTAGGAGATGCTTTTGAGAGCTTGTTTGTGGGTTCTAGCAGGGGAGCGCAGCTACTCGTATACCCTTGACCGAAGACCGGTCCTCCTCTATTCGGGGAAGGTCATCCGAATCAACCCTGGCGATCAATGGGGTGACAGATGTCGCAGCCAGATTGCCCTCACATCCTAGGAGATGCTTTTGTATCTTGGATAATAGTCCATTTTTCAGACGTGTCTTCTTAAACATTCAGTCTGTGGTCTGCCTTCTCCTTCTCTTGATACTATCTTTTAAAAATCAGAAATTTCTGATTTTATGGTAGAATTTACTTTTAACATAAAAATAATTACGTTGGTTTCCTATTCCAAAGAACCCTGTAAATGTTTGTATGCTTATTCTCATAACCCCTAAAACCTGTCTCAGTATAAGTCAAACACCTCTTCATCCTATTGCCATGCTTATGATCTTAAACAAGATGGGAATGAGAGACCTGACTCCAAGCTCCACTGTTCAGTGACCTGGGGTGACCTTTAGGCCTCCTGACTTTCCTTTTCTAAACAGAGATCACGAAGTCCTCAGTCCACCTCTCCAGGTGCTGGGAACACATGACAGTAGAGCCTGGGGCAGTGCCGAGATCAGAGAGAACTTCAGGAGCCTTGGTTTGGGGTGGTAACCATTATCTCCATATTCCAGGTACAAGGTGTGACTTGACGCATACATGCCGTGCAGTGGTTCATTTACCGCACCCATCGCCGTCCACACTCTCCATTCAGAGGGCATCAGAGCTGAATCAAGCTCAGGTTACGGATTGGTTCATGGATTGTGATTGTTACCGTATCTAAAAGTCAGTGTCATATACAAGGTGATCCAGATTTTTTTGTTATCTTTCAAGAGTTTTAAGGTTTTGCATATCCATATCTAGGTCTATAATCCACTCTTTTGAGTGTGAAGGGTTAATACTGTATCACACATGCACATACAACATGCACACACGCACGCACGCACACGTGTGCACACACATACACAATCCAGTTACTCCCGCACCGTCTTTGCTCCACTGCTTTGTTCGCTGCCATTGTCTGTGACTGTGAGTTTATTTCTGAGCCTTCTTCTCTGTCCTTTTGGCCTGCTGTCTGTCCCTTCGCCAACACCCACTGCAGCATAACTGACGAGATGATAGCAATAGAGGTAAAGCGGCGGATGCAGCTACAACTTGGCTCAAAATTAGGCTTCCAGCTGGAGCTCAGTGCTTATCTTTCCATGGTGAGGTCCGTGGCCATGGGGTCAGGTAAGGGCAGGGACGGCCCTTTCCAGCCACCACCGTCCTCACGTGGGAGAGCTACCATCATCATACTAGGGCACATGATATGCTAAACCAAAGGGACATACGAGCCGCTCGGCTCTTGCGATCACTTCTGTGTAACGGCTGGGAAGTCACAGAAGCTTCTAGTCACTGATTTCCTTCTTATTTGATGAAAATATTAACTACCACGAATGAGACAAAAATTAATTCCTAGAGCTGGAACCCTATCAATAAGAAAAATGTATTTAGTCCCTAAGGTGTGTGAATCACAAATTTTTTTCCAAGCACTTACAGGAATATTATAAAAGTAGTAGAAATAATTATTTTTCACACGAGAGGATTAATCCCAGTGACAGCCGGTAAGCGCACTAACAAGTACATCAACTGCAGCAGCCGCCAAGGACGTTCATGTCCCCCTAACGGTGGGTCCTCCATGCCCAGATCTAGACGTTGTGAGGTCGATGCTCTGAGGGATTCAAGGAAGACAAACTGTGCTTTAGGGTGGTGTCCTAGCTTCATTTCTGTGGCTGAGATAAAATAACCCAGGAGCTAAAGACCGGGCTCAGCAGCCAAGGACACACTGCTCTTGCATAGGCCCAGAGCTCAGTTCCCATGTTGGGCAGCTCACAATCACTTCTAACTAAAGCTTCAGGGGAGCCAGTGTTCTCTTCTGGCATCTGCAGACACCTGCAGTCAAATGTGCATACCTACAGATATATATGTGTACATAATTAAAAGATAAAAACTTTAAAATACCTTGGCAAAAAGCAACTTATAAGGGAAGTGACTTGCTTTGGTTCATGATTCAAGTTTATAGTCCATCCATCATAGCAGACAAGTCAAGGAGCTGGAACTCAAAACACCATCCAGAGTCAAGAGCAAGAGAAAAGGATGCAGGCACGCTTAGTACTCAGCTAGCTTTCTCCACAGCCTAGGACCCAGGCCCAGGGGAGGTACCACCCACTTTCAGGCTGGGTCTTCCCACAGGCCATCCTGAGCTGGACGATGCCTCTTTGAGACTCTGTCATTATGTCAAGTAAGGAGTTAAAAACTAACCATCACAGATGGGTTCACTACGGAGAGCTTAATTATTTTGGAAAGCCGCTTTGAAATAATTTCATGCTACTGTGCAAAATTGGTTTATGCTAAAAATGAACTTTTATAAGAAATGATAATCTAGTATAACTGCATGTGTTAATTATCACCATAATTGTCATGTTTATTCAACATACATCCCTCCAGGCAAAGCATGCACATATAAAGAAACAATGTGTAGGCTTAGGAGAGTAAGGAGTTAATATCACAAAAGCAACAGCAAGACATATCCTGTTTATACTTCTGAATATAAAGTTCCTGACAACAGCCGGCTCCTAGCACCTGCAGCAGCAGAAATTACATGAGATCATAGACTACGGCTAAGAAAAGGGGAAGGTAGCTAAGCAACACCTTCCAGTTTCAATGAAGAAAATGTTTAAAATAAAAGTCCTAAATATAGCTACCAAATGTATATTCATCAGCATAGTTAAAGATGTCTTCATGACTGATTTGCAGCATCTAATAAAGCTGAAAAAAAAATCTGGTTCCGGGCACATCACACACCTCAATGCCGGAAGGTCAGGTTCTTCCACTGGGAGCTATCCTCCTGTTTGCACACCTTCTGTTTGCACATCCTCCTGTTTTCGCCTTCGAAACCAGCTCCATATTCTGGATGGTGGTCACGTGGGCGTGCTCCCTGGGTGGTGGCCATTATGGTTTGTTCTTCATGCTCCAATTAAAAAGGAAACAAGGCTTTATTTGAGTGTGCTGTAATCAAGTCTCACTGTCTTTCAAGTCTGGAAAGATGCCTATCCTCATCTTCATAGAGAGGTGCTCTGCTTGGTCCTCCATCTTTCTTGTGTTTTCTGTTTGCTCGTGTTCTCTTTGTTCCTCCCTCCCACACCCCACCTCTGTTTGGGGTGCTGAGGATGTATCCCGGGGCCTCGGGCACGCCGAGCCAATGTTCCACAGATGAGCTGCACCTCCAGTTCCCGCCATTTGGTTTCCCCGTAAAACTTTACGTTCTTTGCCAGCCAGGGTCTTGGTAATTTTACATCCATACCGAGCAGACAACGGTATTCAGAAATCAGGCTACAAAGGAAAATCTTAAAGGCAGTCCTGGTTTGAAATGATTGACAATTCCTGTGACATACATAACTTCTGATTTGCAAGTTCCAAGGTTCAATAAATAGTTGGTGCTATCACTATTTAACAACCGGTTCTCCCAAAGAGACAATGAAAAAAAAAAAAAACTAACAAAACAACTGTAGCCACACAAACAGTGTGAGTGGTAGACTAAAACCAGCTTAGGACTGCATCTCCAAATAGCCCAAAGCATCTCCAGGACTGCACACCCACTAACGCTCCTTCTCACTCACACAAAGCACCTCCAGCGGTGGGAACAGACAATACTTCAGTTGTCTGTTGGATGAATGGACGGCTGGTGACAAGCACTCCACGTGCATCCCTGTGGAGCTGAAGCCAAACAAGCCAACTGACAGAATTACTTAGAACCAGGCATTTACGGCACTGACAACAGATTATTTTCCACGTCTCAGGAAATGTAATGGAGCCAAGACAACAGCCTTCACTTGTTTCCCACCAAAGTGAAGACTGAACCTAACAGCTTTTCAATAACCCACATTACACTCTGGGCTTCCAAGATGGTGAGGGGGCAGGTGAGCTGGCAGCATTGACGTCAGGGGGAGTGGCAGGTACGAACGTTTTCTTTCTGCTAAAAACTGTCCTGTGGCATACATAACGTCTACATAGATGAGCTTGGCTCTTAAAAGCACAAATACAGGAAAGCAATCGACGTTTTTAATGCTACCGTGTGGAGGGCACTGCTTTTTTTCTGATTTATTAGGATATTCATTATTTCAGCATGGACTTACCAGAAATTAAAAAGTCAGAACAAAAATGAAAGATAACAGATCTAAAATATGGCAGGGAAAAAAATGTAAAAGCATTAATTTTACCGAAAATAAAAATCCAGGCTCTTCTACAGATTCAAACAGGATATAAGGCAGAGGAAAGGAAGACTCAAAGCCTTCTGTTAATCAACAGGACTCCAAAATTTCTGGGGCCAGAGGACACTGAAAGCGAGTTAAAGGTTAGGCTCTTGTGGGCGTCCACGTGTGACTCAGTTTCCATCTGGAGTCATTTCCGACTTGCCTGCTCTGCTTCTTGCAGTAACTCTGAGGGCTGCGAGTAACATCTGTGTTAGCCCATAGAAAAACATTTTTGCCCAGTTGAAAGAGCACAGTTTTCTATTAAGATTTGGGCTGGTGTGTGCCAGCCAGAGGCACGTGTCATTAGGGATTAGAAGCTGCTTAGCTGAATAAGAGAACGCACCTGCTTGAGCTTTCTCCCGAGGTCAGTGCAGGGAGGTGGTTAGCTGACTGGATGGCTCTTTGTTCTGCCTTTTGCCTGAGAAATAAACTCGGGGCTTTTTAGTGTTGACCTTCAGTCCTCTCGGTCTAGCCTGTGTTTCTGTCTTCATTTCTCTTAATCTAACTTTTCCTCAGCCTCGGTGCCCCCCATTCGCCCCTGGAAGCCCAGCTGATTTCTGCCCTCGTGACAGGCCCTCTAGTCTCTTCCTCCTTCTCCCAGCCACACCATCACTACCACAGCCATTGTAGCTTGATTTCAGAAAATTAAACCGTGAGACATCAGGATTCGAGCTGAATAAACTTGGGTACTGGGGATTGCATTTTAAACGCTCCCATCAAAGGGCCATGAGCTAAAAAAAAAAAAAAAAAAAAAAAAAAAAAAAANAAAAAAAAAAAAAAAAAAAAAAAAAAAAAAAAAAAAAAAAAAAAAAAGGCTTGATCACTAGTCTGCTTAGTCTGCTGAAGAATGGTGCAATTGGGAGGTGGAGCCTTAAGGTAGAGCTTTAGAGAAGTGGACCCTTGGGGAGGTGGAGCCTTGGGGAGGCGGAGCCTTAAGGAGGTAGGGCTTTAGAGAAGTGGGCCCTAGTGGGAGGCAGAGCCTTAAGGAAGTGGACCCTTGGGGAGGTGGAGCCTTAGGGAGGTGGAAATCTGGGAAGCAGACCCTTGAGGAGGTAGACCCTTGGAGAGATGGGGGACCCTTGGGAGGTTAAGCCTAGCAGAGGAGGTGTGGCTTTGTCGGAGTGGGAATGGCCATGTTGGAGGAAGTGTTTCATTGTGGGGGTGGGCTTTGAGGCTACTCAAGCTATGCTCAGTGTGGCAGGGGTCACCTCCAGCTGCCTGTGGATCAAGACTAGACCTCTCAGCCCCTTTCCCAGCACCATGTCTGCCTGCCTGCTTCCAGGCTTCCTTCCCACCACTGATAACAACGGACAAAACCTCTGAACCGTAAGCCAGCCCCAATTAAATGTTTTCTTGAGTTGCTGTGGTCATGGTATCTCCTCACAGCGATAAGAAACCCTAACTAAGACATGTCTAAGGACTCTCAGATGGCATGGCGTTCACAATGGCGCTTTCACAATGGAGCTGCCGGGTTTTGTAGCCCTGCTTGGGCTCAGGGCTTTGTAGCCAATCAAGTACAGTTTCTTTATCAGTAACAAGTAAAGTCAAACCAGGTGTCCCCACAGTTAGGGAAGGTCATCATTGCCCTGGGCACAGCTCCACCAGTTTCTACACACAGCCCAGCATTAGACAATGAAGTGGCTTTTGTTTCCCGGTGTAGCAACCACACTTTATGAGAGTCTTGAGGTCCACAAAGACTTCCGAGGGTACATGCTTGCAGGCCCAACTTCCTGGTAGTGGCCTGGGAATTGGAGCCTCACTTTGGAGTTTTGTTACCGAACTCAACACCACTAGGCGTAACTGTGTGGGCAGTAGAAGCCCTGACAGTCAGGCTGGCCTAAAACAGCACAGGGCCCCTACCCTGGACATAACCTTCAAGGCAGAGACGGTCAGTTTCTGCAGGCACATTACAAGCTGCTGGCAACAACCAAGAGTTTCTATAAAAGTATTTTCTTGTGTAACTATAGGGGCAGGCTTTGAGGTCTTATATATGCTCAAGCCACGCCCAGTGTCTCACTTCACTTCCTGTTGCCTACAGATCAAGATGTAGGACTCCCAGCTCCTTCTCCAGGACCACGTCTGCCTGCATGCCACCATGTCCCACCATGATAATGGACTGACTCTCTGAACTGTAAGCCAGCCACCCCAATTAAATGTTTCCCTTATAAGAGTTGCTGTGTTCATGGTGTCTCTTCACAGCGATAGAAACCCTAACTATTCCCATCTCCCTAAAACATGTTATGAACTGTGCCAGACACAGTGAGAACAATTAAAAACTATGTTCAAGAGGTTATGGATGGTCCCCCTGTCTTTAAACCACAGAAGATAGTAACATCTTTGAAATGCTTCTGCTGTCATTGGAAGTGTGTTTAGTAAGATCAATTAGAAACCTGTAACCATGTGCCAGAAGGATGCCTCCGTGGGTAGAGGTGCCTGCTACTGTGACTGGCAGCCTGGGAATCGATTCTGGCAAATTGCCCTCTGTCTTCTACAGGCTCGTCATGGCATGTGCACCCCCCTCAACACGTGTTCACAAAATAAACGGAATATTTCTACAAAGCTGTAGCCATTATAGAATATTGAGAACAGGGAGTGGGATGCAGAGGAGGACAGAGAAGGCTGCTGCGACAGAGGAGCACCAGACGTTTAAGCGTGTCCCCAAAGTTCTCACACGGGGAGCTCAATCCCAGTGTAGTAGTGTTGGAAGGCAAGGCCTCACGGGAAGTGTTTGGGTCACAGACACTACCTTCGTGGGTCAATTAATGCCTTCATTTCAGGAATGAGTGTGGGTTGTGGGTTTCTTATAAAAAGAGAGTTTGGCCCCTTCCTTGCTCTCTCCTTGTCCTTCTGCCGCAGCAAGACCTTCACCGTATACACATTCCCATGGCCTTCCTCACGGCCTCCAGCACCATGAGAGATTGTTACAAATGACTAAGTAGAGGTGTTCTTCAGCAGCAAACACGGTCTAAGACGGGGAGCGATGAGAGGGGTCTAAATTACACGGCAGTACGATAAGGTGGGCTTCATGAAGGCCAGAGTCCCAGTAACCCAGCCCCAACAACAGAGAAAGGACTCACTGACCGCGAGTCAGTACACAGTGTGACTAGTACAACCACAAAAGCAGGTTGGAGCCAACAGCTGAAAGGAAAACAGGTAATTGTATCGGGTACCCGCGGAGAGGAGGACAGAGGCACTCTGAGGATGATGTTTTCCCTTTTCCAGAGGGGGACCAGCCTCTGGAGGGCTGACATCTTGTTGCTTAGCAAAGGGCTTTTATTGTTATACAGTTCATACCTTTAGCCATCAATCTCCGGCTACCAAACCCTCTTATCTAAGCTCCCCAAAGAGACAATGCCAAATGCAAATTCTCAGTTAAGAGAGGGCTCGGTTTGCCAGTCCTTCCCCAGCCACCGTTTTGCGTAGGCTTTGAACCTTTAGGAAACTCTCAGAGACGATTTACATATTTCAAAGGGAAGGTACAGGAGACAAAAAGTAGTCGTCATAGAAGGCAGGTTAAAGCAGGTGCTAACACTCCAGAATCAAAGCAGTTGCATAATTCTGCAGAACTCCTCTAGCAGGTAATAAAAAGGTTGATATTTACATAACCCATTTGTCTTAAAAAAATTAAGAGGGAACATTTCTGATGAAACCTACATTCACATACCTATTTGATAGCCCCGTGGGAATGAGGAAAGGGTCACTTATGTGTGGCTTTACCACAGTATGGTTTGAAGATTCAACCAATCAGCTTACATCAGGCTACTGAGCAGCCGAGGCGTCAGTACCATCCAGGTGTGTTGTGGTGTGAGCGGACTGCATAGTTAAGGATCCTTTTTTTTTTTTGAAGGGGGGGGGTGGGTAGCAGAGGGTAATGGGAATTGAACCCAGGGACTGATGCGCAGAAGGTCCGCGGAGCCGCAGCCCTCGCGGTACACAGTTGGTCAAGAACACAGAGCGAAGCTGCTCCCTATCACTTTCCCCTGACCCTAGGGACCTAGCCAAGGAAAACATTCCTTATGCAACCACGAGATGCCTCTGTTTGTTTAATCATAGTGAGAGTGTCACCGTTCTGAATTCTATTTTTAAAACACAACCTTGGGCTTGGTTGCTGGCTGCTGACTTCTATTTCCCTATTCTGAGCTTGGCCACTGGTCTTTACCAGCTTCATACATCTGCTTATGTTCCTTGGTCAAACAAACGAACAAAAGTAAAAATCATCCCGCGTGTGAGGAAATGCATTAAGGTTTAAAACAAGGATTAATTTTTAAAAATTATGTGTCTGTGTGTGTGCCTACTAGCCTGTATGTGCATCATACGCTTTTGATCCCCTGGAACAGGAGTTGCAAGCAGTTGTGGGGCCCTACACGGGTGCTGGAAAACAAACCCGTTCTCCTCCACAAGGAGAGTGTGCTCTCCTAACCACGGAGCCATCTCTCTGGCTTCCATTCCCTTTAAGTTTATTTTAGGTGGCGCAAGCCTTTAATCCCAGCACTTGGGAGGCAGAGGCAGGCAGATCTCTGTGAGTTCGAAGACCAGCCTGGTCTACAGAGCTAGTGCCAGGACAGGCTCTAAAGCCACAAAGAAACCCTGTCTCGAAAAACCAAAAAAAAAAAAAAAAAAAAAAAAAAGTTTATTTTAAATATAGGGTCTCACTGTGTAGCTCTGGCTGGCCTGGAACTCCTTAGGTAGATCAGGTTAGTCTTTAACATCCAACTCACACAGATGGACCTGCCTGACTCTCAAATATGTTATGAGGGGCATGTCCCAACATGCCTAGAATATTTTATGAGCCAGCCATCGTTTCAGAATGAATTCTAGGAAGTACTCGGCTCTCTAGAGACCATAGTGGTGATAGAGGGGATGGTGGTGCCTGTGTGTCCAATTCTAAAGTACCCACACATAGGCTCTCAGGTTTCCCATGTGTCTAGAGTCTGGGTGGATGAAGTGTAGGTTAGGGTCAAGGCAGTGCCCACTTAGACTGGGGCTGGACTGGAGGGTCCAGGGAGCAGCCCTCTCCCGTGGCCACCACCGTAGCACGCCCACCTCTGCCGCGTGTCGCAGACCCAGGCTCTCTCAGGCTGAGGGTTCACTTCAGGCCCCTTGGCTGCCGTCTGCTCGCCTAGCGCTCCGCCCGGGACCGTCCGTCCAGGAGGAATGACGCATTAATGGTCGTGACGCAGAAGAACGACCACCGAACTCGCCCGGGCGCGCTCCCCGCAGTGCCGGGTTGACCTTCCCCGTTAGCTAGCCAGCCGCCCCGAGACGGGCGAGCGGCGCATGCGTACGCGGGAGGCCGGGCAGCCTGGAAGCGAAGCGAGCCGTGGCGCGGCCGCGCCCTCGAAGCGTCCTAGCCGGTGGACGACGCATGCGCGGGCGGCGCGGTCTTAAGGGCGGCCGCGGCCGGGGCCGCCCAGTCGGCCTGTCAGCCGGCTTCGAGGTGTGCTCCTGCGCTTGCGCGGCGGCGGTGCCGAAAGCGATGGCGGCGGAGGAGGAGGTGGACTCGGCGGACACCGGTGGAGGGTGAGGATCGCCCGGGACTGGGGGACGACGTGGTTTGGGGGCGCCCCGAGGACGAGTCACCGCTCCGGCTTCCGTCGGACGCGGGCGCCACCCTTCCCGGTCCGTCGGGGCTGAAGGCCGCGGGGCTGCGGGGAGAGCGGCGGTGGGGACGCCCGGCCCCGGCGACCCCGATTGGCGACCCCACCCGCCTCGAGCGCGCGGAAATCGGAACCCCGCGCTGGCACCCGGCGGCCTCCCCTGGATGGGGAACCGGGGATCGCCTGGGTGGGGCGTGGGCATGTGGCCCCGGAAAGCGTCGGGCTTCCGGGAACCTCACCGGGAGGTTGACAGTCAGCTGTGCGAGAGCGCGTCCCTGCGTGGCCGGGCGCCTTGCGCTCGCCCGCGTCACGCCTCCCCGGTGCCTGGTGCGCCCCTGTGACCAGGCAGGCAGGCGGTCAGGCTTGGCTAGACAAGCCGGCCCCAGCAAACTTTTCGGCAGCAAACTTTGTGGGAGTTGCGAGGCAGATGCCTAATAGGAAGCCCTTACTTTTTGTTGTTGTTGTTGTTGTTTTGGTTTTGTTTGAAACTGTGTTTGTAGCCCTTACTGGCCTGGACATCTATGTAGACAAGGCTAGCTTCAAATCTGCGGAGATCTTATCCTTTTTCCTCGGCTGCTCAGTGCTGGAGTCAGGTGTGAGGCACCACACCCCACTTTTTGGTAGACTCATTTTAAGGTATTCTTGTCTTTCATATATGTCATGCCGTGTGAACAGAGTAGTAATTGTTGGAAAAGTTAAACTACCGTGAAGATTATTGCATCGATTCTCAGAAGTCTGCTTCTTTTGTATGGACAGAACTATACACGTCTCCCTTATGGATAGATGGTAGTTCCACTTCAGGTATTTGGAGACGTTTGCATAGGGAAGATAGGTTATATGGTGCTATGAAAGCAAATATTTTGGAAAGATGTTAGGGAAGGAATATTTAGAGATATGAGGAACTCCAGTCTCCTAGTTTTGCTCAAGTGATAACAAGTTGGGCTCACGGTCTTTGGTTTGTGGTTGAGCTTCCTAGTTACCTTGATATGAAACGTGAATGTCACGTGGTACAGCTAGAACCTGGCAGCTTGAGTTCTTGTCAGATCTGTCAGGACATGCTTTGGCTCTGAGACTACTAGCTTGTGGACCTTTTTGGTCCTGATGGCATGAGGCTCGGGAATCCAGAGCACAAGAATGCTAAGTTCCTGCTGGGCGTTCCCCAGGTCATAATAATCCTGGTACCCCATGTGTTAGATCTGACTACTCCCATTTTCGTCTGGAACTGCCTCTGCCAAGTAGTAGAACTAATTGAAACCTACGCCTTTGGGTCTCTGCATTTAGTTTTAAGGCCTTTTCCTTACAGTTCTGCTGCTTCTCGGTTGGAGGAGGGCTCACGGGGTATTTGCCTACTGTTCTGAGTCAAGTTCCTCAAGACATTTGGACGTAGACGGTGCCATAATTTGGCTCTGATCTGAGTGTCCTGTGTTGAAGTTAACCTGATGATAGGGCATAGAGGCAAGGCTTTGGGAGGGATTAGGACGAGATCATCCGTAGGATGGAGTCTCGGTGATCAGATCCTTGTGGTTCATGAAAGAGATGGCGAGATCAGCATATGTCCCAACTGTGTGTTCTCAGCTCCCTGTGTCTTGCCGTGTGCCTGCCACCCTGGGATTTTGCGAGAAGTCCTGCACTAGAACTGACCCCTCTATTTCCTACCTCCAGATTGTGACCAAAGCACCTCGTTTCTTGGTAACTTGTTAGTACAGATGGGGAGATGACATTAATAAAGCAAGTAGATACAAAGCAGTCACCTCACGTGAAGACAAGCGTACTGGGAAGCTTTCAAAATCTAGTCCTTGTCAGTCGCAATACAGTTGAGGAAGCCAAGTATAGTGAGAACAGGGTAGATTTCTGTGTGTTGCTGTAATGATGTCCCAGAGAATTAAGTGCTGGTTGAGTTCAGGGGAAAGCTATCACAAAACTATGCCACTGCAGAATAGGTGGCTCGCAGGGCCTTCTAGCATGGTGTGTCCTGGCAGACCATTGCCAATGTCAGGAATTCTTATAGCACAAGCATCCTGAAGCCAGCCATTGTGAGAGTGTTAACGCCATGAGGTCATCACATGCTACTAAATAAGACAGGATTTCTCCCTTACTGCCTTGGTTGACTTGTCAGCATCCTGCTGGGTGTATGTTAAAGTCTGTGTATAGTCCTGTGCTTTGGAGAGTCAAGAGTGCGCTTCTTTATCTTCCCTCCTACAGAACTGCCAAGGTCTTCCTACTGCTACTGCTCTGTAATCTTTGCCCATGACTTCTTCAACATCATGAAACTCTGCAGTGCTAGTACTTAACTCGGGTCTAACACACACACACACACACACACACACACACACACACGCCAGCACACACTGGCCTCAAGACTTCGTGTGAGCACTGTCCACTGAGCTACATCCTCCAGCCCTCTTGAGTACTATAGTGAAACTCTTCTTAGACAGCTAACTCTCCTAACATTTTGTTTTCTCTCTTAACTGAGACCAGCAGTTACTTTTATTAGGGTCTATTCTTTTAACTGTTTTCTTTTTTTTAATATTTATTTATTATGTATACAATATTCTGTGTGTATGCCCACAGGCCAGAAGACAGGCCAGACCCCATTACAGATGGTTGTGAGCCACCATGTGGTTGCTGGGAATTGAACTCAGGACCTTTGGAAGAGCAGACTATGCTCTTAACCTCTGAGCCATCTCTCCAGCCCTTAACTGTTTTCTAAATACAATAATTCCCTAAGAGTTTATTACCTATGAACAGTTTTGAACTATCTTGTCTCCGAAGGACTGAGGTCTCACTCTCTTCTGTACTGTAGTGTTACCGTTGTTGCAGCTGTTTGTGTCTAGTTTTTCAAGTGTGCAATGTCTAGACATAGCCTTGTTTGTGTTTCCTTCCTTTAATGGTGTCAAGTGCACAGTCTCCCCCCTGCTCTCTGATTTTTTAAGACAGTTTCAGTCTTCTGGTTGTCTGCACTCTTAACTGACCTCAAAGTATTAAACCTGCTCCTTTATTGTCTCTGGACAACAAATCAATTATCAAGTCCCCACAGAGCCTAACAGCCTGCCCATCATTGTCCCACTACCACCCGGGAGCCACCTAGTTCAAAACCTTCACGTTCTTCCCTTGGATTTTTGCAAACTATTCCGTGTGGCTCCCATTCAGGTTTGGAGTCTTATTTCCTTTCTCTGCACTCTTCCCATGCTTCCTAAACATGTCTCCTGCTTCCTGCCATTCTTCGTGGTTCGTTTCACATCGTTTTCTGTAACCTTTCTCTACGGTCGTGGTACTTGGTGTGTTTGTATGACGCATACATGTGAATGTACATGTGTATGTATTGCATGTGGAAACCAGATGAGGACATCAGGCGTCTGTCACTCTCCACCTTATTCCCGAGAGACAGGGTCTCTCACTGAACCTGAAGCTTGTTGTTTTGGCCAGTCTAGCTCCTGGGTCTGCTCCCCATGTTGGGTTATAGGCACACTAGGTGGTGTTTCCTTTCATGGGTGCTGGGATCTGAACTTGTGTCCTTTGCTTGTACAGGAAGTAATTTTACCAAACCACCAAACATCTCTGCAGCCCCCATGGTAAGATCTTTAAAGACAAGATCTTACTGTTGTGGCCTTCAACTCTTGAGTTTTGTACTTTTACTTCACAAATGCCAGGATTGCAGGCACGTACCCACCACACTGAGCTCTAAAGTTTCTTTGTCTCACTTAAATACTGTTATTAATAGACTTATTTTTATACTTATTTTGTCAGCTTAGAGAAAGGCTTTTGTCCTACTCAAATGTTTGGCAGAGTCCAAAAGGGCTTTATAAATTACAATCTTCAATAATTTCTTACTAAGCCTTTAGCTGTTGTAAACTTAGCTGACACCAACACGGAGCTTACAAACCTGGAAGTTAATTACTCATATTTGTTTATTTTCCTAAGATATTCAGAAACCCATGTATACGAGCAGAACAACAGAATCACACACTTCAGTTTTCCTGGGATGTCGGAAATAGGATTCTATTTCTTGACCTTAGATGAACCAACCCAGACCTCTCTGTCCCTGCAGTCCAGAATGCCAGCCACAGACCAGCAAATGCAGATGTCAACCCTGTGACCAAAAAAAGATTATAAAATCAGGGTGGGCCACGCCTTCAAAACAATGCTCAACGGTATGTTTGCGGACTTGGAGGTGTAACACCTGTTTTCAAACATGGTTGCTTTCTAAAATAACCTTGACTAAGCATTAAATTTTTAGTTAAACTTAATGATCATCTGATTGTGAGGTACAAAAAAAATGTGCAAAGATAATTTTACTAAAAGTAATTATTAACTTTGAGACCTAGGACTTTTAGTTTTGGTCTTCACTGTCTGATGGATAGGCTTATCTTAGAACTGACTTGAAGAAACTTTTCTCCCACTTGTTAAGTAGCAAGTATGAGCGTTCACATGTAACGGCTTCAAGTGTGTCTAACATGAGGGGTCTGACTCTCCTCCTGAGTGGTTGTTGACTGCATTAGGGAAGGTAGGAAATGCTGTAGGAAAGGATGGGCATATGTGCACATGTGTGCGTGTACGTGTGCGTGTGCATGCACGTGTGTGCACATATATGCGTGCTTGTGGGTATGTAAATTCTTGGTTTTACAAGAGAGGGTATTTCTGTGTAGACTAGGCTGGTCTCAAAAGCTTAATTGTTGGTTCTGCTTCAGCCTCCTGAGCGCTTGCATTATAGTTTGGAGTCACACACACCATTAAGCTTTCAAAATATTCCAAA